AGTGAGGAAACTGATATTCGTCGCTTGTCTGAATTACTTGTTATACCACTTGGAGATGATCTGTCGTATTAAACCTACTTATGAATGCTTCTCACTCGTTTGACTGCGTTTGACCAACTTTTCTGAAGGCTTTTCGTCAGTAACTTCGTTAAGAAGTTGTAGATGATTGACAACCAACTGATCGGTCTGTGACACCGATCCACATTATCTCTTCTTTTGTGGAGTCGAATCACAAATGCGGTAGTCCAGTGGTCTGGATTTTTTCTCTCTTTCAAACAACTTGAAAAAAGCACTGTAATATATTGGTCAGTACTTCCTCTCCTGATTTCCAGTTCAGCTAATTCGGCGAGTTTTGTTTCTGCGAATTCAACTGAGATGCCATCTTCTCCGGAGTCTTTCTTCTCTTTGACTTCTTCTGGCAGTTTATCTGGAATTTCGATAAGTTTATTTGTTGTTTCAAATTACTTATCGTCACCGATAATGTATCTGTTTTCAAGTTTGTACAGTTTTTTATCGAAATCTTCAAATGTCTTTGTAATCTGTTGCTTGTCCCTGATGACAGTACCGTCTTCTGCTTTGAGAGCTAAATTTTGTCATTTTCCGACCGTTAGTCTTTGATTTAATTTCTTCATACTTCGGGTTTTTAATAGTTTCCTTTACCAATCTGCAGTTGAACGTTCAGACTTCGTCTTTTATCCGTTAATTTAATGTTTTGCGAAGTTCCGCCTACACGATCTTTGATTTATTATTCTGCTGCGGGCCACATTTCTTTTCGTTTTTTTTCGATAAGCTGTTTTATTTGTTTCGTGATTTAGTGGTCGATTTGCGTTGTCCTTGTTCCAGAGACGCTTTCTACTCTTTCTGTAACAGCTTTCTTTATATCCTGATACATTAGGTTGATGTCTACTGCTTCTTCTTCCATTGCGTGAAGAACGTTAAATCAGTTATTTAACTTGAGTTGGAAAAGGCGGAGGTTATTATGTTGTTTTCACGTTGATTGACTAGCACCTCGTCCTCAGCAGTTTCCATTTTCCTAAAGCTGAGTTTCGAGCGCTTCGCATCTGAAGTGCCTGTAGTCCTCCCCTGTGATAAACCTGTTCAGCACCGCCACATGCTGCATTGAGTTCTTCATACTACTGAGGATAAAATCAATATCATTCTTGACGCCGTATGGGCCTCTTCTTATTACGTCTGTAATCTCTTAAAGATTTTCTAAGACCTTTTAGACATGACACGATCGTGCCTGGTTATGAAGGTGAGCTCCGCATATCGCACTTCGAAATATGGGAAAGCGAAGCTTAAGGTTTCACGCATGTTATTCATTCCATGCTCCCTTTCTATTAATTCTCTCAGTTGTTATTTCTTTCGAGTGACGAAGTCAGCAGCATCAGGATGTTTTTCTAATGATTCCAGTTCTCCTCTGACATGTACTGCACGAAGGATTGGTTTCCAAAGTACGGTAATGATAAGTAGTTAATATACTCGTCATATGACCATTGGGCTTCCTCTTGACTGTTTCCATGTGGCTTTGCGAAAAGAGTTCGCCTTTTTATCTATGCTCTGTCATCCTCATCACGTATTGCAGCCATCGTAGTTGTGATTTCTCGGTGTTTGGAGGAGTGTTTCACAAAGTTTGGTATCTCAGGTTGCCATGTTGTGTGACTTTCCTAACGTCATGACACCAACAATCCTTCGACTATTGGCTATTGCTTATTACAATTTAGCCGTGAGCTGACTGGTGGCGTGTAAATAGTTTTCATCTCGAATTTTCGAATGGATTTTGCTGCTTCATTTTATTTATTGAACCTGAATATGAACTTATTGTTCCCTCACGATTATTCAGTCTCCATTTATCCCATCTGTTTTACTGTACGGATAGAAACAGCTTGCCGACGTTTTAAGCATTTATTTTCATTGATTTGGTGCAAGTTTGACCAGTTTTGACATCATGGTGGTCTCTGGTTTGCTTCATTGTGATATTTATAGGTTATTTCATTCGGAATTCGTCGTCAGTGATGCCTACGATCACAGGCACTTCATGTACGTTTAATTCAGCTGTAATTTTGGTCATCTTTTACCGAACAATTGTATTTCTGTCCAGTCGAATTCAGCGCTTTTCGTGTGTTCTTATTACTTAACCTTTGTTTCCTGAAAGCAAAACCAATGTACCGTATATTAAAGTTGTATTGATATGTGCTGTAAATCGGTTTGCTTTGTTTTTCATACTTCGCAAATAAATCAGCAGCTAGTGTAGCATGTGAAGGGCAATCTGTGTCTGAACAAATCACATCGATGACCATAATAAATACTTCG